AGAGAGACAGAGCATTTTACTGTGGGACTGAGGATATTGTAATAATCAGACTTTGAGTATATACACTTTGGGGAAGTGGTTTTATTTATTAAGCTCCAAAAGGATTGAAATACCTAGAAATATTACAGAGGTAGACCTTTTTAAGTGACAGCAACAGCTTTAATTATTAATATCACCTTCCTATTGGTCTGTATTTTTCATTGTAGTAATAATTATAATAGTATTTATTAATGGTGTCTTATTTCTGTCTCACTTGTTAGCTTTTGGATTTGATTGAATTTTGTCTACCTTTATTAATATTATTATTATTAGTATTGTTTGTAATTATTTTCATTTATGTTATTTGCTTATTTATTTATTAGATGTTTTTGTTATTACTATACTTATTATGATTATTACTATTATTATTATTATTATTATTATTATTATTACACTCATTTACGGAAGGAAAATTACTTTTTAATATTTTATTGTTATTTGCTTTCAAAGCATCTTTGAGCACTATGAAAAGTGCTATTTAAATATATGTATTATATTATTATTATTTGTTATTATTCCTCAGGTTTGGAAGAAGGGACACCTCCATCCTGATGACGTCCTCTTTAAAGCATCCAGCAGATCAGCTGGAGGAAGACTCAGGAGAGCCAGCGGGGTCACGGTCAGTTCCTTAATACAGGGCGTCTTACTGTACATCAAATACACACTGTTGTCACAATAACTTGTTACCGGCACAGATACATGTAAGTATATTTAACAATCTGGACTCAAATATGTATATATGTTCATTTAATTCATTTCTTATTTCGACAGTTACTCATCATTTGAATTTGAATTTCATCTTTAATTGTATAAATCTTGTGTGAATCAGTATTGTCATGTTTTTCACTCACTCTGTTGCTGCTTAAAGTCCACGGGGATTAATAAAGTTCCATCTTATCTTATCTTATCTGATAAAAAATATGGCTTAAAGAGTTGGTTTACCAAATTACAAAAAACCTAGTTAGATTTGTTTTCTAAGATGTCTGCCTCCACCCCGACACAGTAGAGGTCAACAGACCCACAGTCATCTGCATGTCCCTTCAGATACAGGTGTAAAGGTCACTGTGAATCATCAGCTCCAGAGAAAGGTCAAATCTGAACCATCTGATAGGCTGTTGAAAACATTTGCTTGTTTGTAACTGGACTGTAGAACAGATGTGTTGTTTTCATGTTGCTCACTTTCTTTAATTCTAAAAGCCTTTCGAGACGACAGCAGCAATAACTCTCTCCTTGTGCTCTTTGTGTTTTTAGCTCGGGACGCCACGCTGACGCCATTTTCACCAACAGCTACAGGAAGGTCCTGGGACAAATCTCTGCCAGGAAGTTCCTTCAGACAATCATGGGCAAACGGCGGGGGTGGGTAGCACGAGAGGAGAGCAAGAGGGTGGTGCAGGAATGAGTCATAAAACCCGGGATATGAGTTAGCATTTTAGCACTTTCGCTCCCCTCGGAATCAATGGTTTTTGGAACAATGTTGGTACCTGAAGTAAGGTCTGTGCTTAACACAAGCTGAAGAGGTTACCTAGTTTTGTTCTACGACATAAAATACATCAGAGATTACCCCACTCGTGAATACCCGAAGCTTCTATGTGTCCTAAAAACGGCAGATGCTAACAAGTGGCTAAATTAGACTACTTAACGCCATATCGCCGAACATTAGCCGCCGTTAGCTTAGCGGTGTTTATGCGTAGCCATATGACCGTGATGTAGTTCCTTTAGAGACTAATGTTAGCTTTTTACCACAATTTTACACTTAAAAATCCTAACATTTGTTTAAATATGTAGAGTTTATCTTGTTGAACAAAACATGAAAGTATTATAAATTTGTGTTTGCCACATTGCTTATTTTCTGCAATTTCCAATGGAAAATTCCCATTGCTTTTTGTTGCTGGACTTATGCTAACTAACTGATCTACCTTAAAAATCACTGAACACTCCATGATGTCACACTGCTAGTGTGTGTTTTTAAGCACAGAAATACACAATGAACACAAGTGTTGTTTTCTCACAGTGATAAAAGTGAGAGCTACGTGAAGCGTCAGTCAGACATCTACGAAGGGACCTTTAAAGAAGATCTAACCTCCATCCAGAGCAACCAGAGATACAGAGGAGTGCACAGGAACATCATGAGACCCAGGTCAACAAATATTACACACTCTCAGTTCTATGGAATTATAACGTTGTGTTTATTTCTCGCTAACCTTGAGTCTTTGCTCTCCACAGACTGCTTAGTTGAGATCAGTGGATCGGACAGATTGAAGGCTGCCACTCCTTGCCAACTTCACTTTCCATAACCATCGCCGCTTGTTTTCCTTTACCTTCTTATTTAAAAATGTAAAGTTTATTGTCTTTTATTGAATTCCCATTAAAGCTTTGAAAAAAACCTGCAGCCCAGTTCATGACTTTGGGATAAATGGTGCGTTGTTATAGTTACATATTGTTTTCTATGCAAATGTTTTTTTGCTGCCTTAAAGGGGCCCTACTATTCTTCTTTGGGGTTTCCCTTCCCTGTAGTGTGTTCTATAGGTTTTAGTGCATGTAAATGGCTAAAGGCTAAAATCACTGTGTTCTCTCAAAAGGGAGTTTGTCTCCCACACTTCCATGACATTGTGACATCATTATGTAACACATTGTGCGTGATAGACTGAGGGGCGTGAGCAGTTGATCCGAACAGAGCTGACCAGATAACCAATCAGAGCAGACTGGGCTCTGGTTTCAGACAGAGGGTGAAAAGAGGTGCTGCAGCACAGACAGTATGAGAAAAATAAATAGCTTTTTGAACATTGAAGCATGCAGACATGTCCCAGTAGAGACACTAAATACTGATATGAACCTGAACATCAGCAGGAGAGGACTCTTTAAAGTAGAGACACTACATACTGATATACACCTGAACATCAGCAGGAGAGGACTCTTTAAAGTAGAGACACTACATACTGATATACACCTGAACATCAGCAGGAGAGGACTCTTTAAAGTAGAGACACTACATACTGATATACACCTGAACATCAGCAGGTGAGGACTCTTTAAAGTAGAGACACTACATACTGATATACACCTGAACATCAGCAGGAGAGGACTCTTTAAAGTAGAGACACTAAATACTGATATACACCTGAACATCAGCAGGAGAGGACTCTTTAAAGTAGAGACACTACATACTGATATACACCTGAACATCAGCAGGAGAGGACTCTTTAAAGTAGAGACACTACATACTGATATACACCTGAACATCAGCAGGAGAGGACTCTTTAAAGTAGAGACACTACATACTGATATACACCTGAACATCAGCAGGTGAGGACTCTTTAAAGTAGAGACACTACATACTGATATACACCTGAACATCAGCAGGAGAGGACTCTTTAAAGTAGAGACACTACATACTGATATACACCTGAACATCAGCAGGAGAGGACTCTTTAAAGTAGAGACACTACATACTGATATACACCTGGACATCAGCAGGAGAGGACTCTTTAAAGTAGAGACACTACATACTGATATACACCTGGACATCAGCAGGAGAGGACTCTTTAAAGTAGAGGCACTACATACTGATATACACCTGAACATCAGTAGGAGAGGACTCTTTAAAGTAGAGACACTATACTGATATACACCTGAACATCAGCAGGAGAGGACTCTTTAAAGTAGAGGCACTATACTGATATACACCTGAACATCAGCAGGAGAGGACTCTTTAAAGTAGAGGCACTACATACTGATATACACCTGAACATCAGCAGGAGAGGACTCTTTAAAGTAGAGACACTACATACTGATATACACCTGAACATCAGCAGGAGAGGACTCTTTAAAGTAGAGACACTATACTGATATACACCTGAACATCAGCAGGAGAGGACTCTTTAAAGTAGAGACACTATACTGATATACACCTGAACATCAGCAGGAGAGGACTCTTTAAAGTAGAGACACTATACTGATATACACCTGAACATCAGCAGGAGAGGACTCTTTAAAGTAGAGGCACTACATACTGATATACACCTGAACATCAGCAGGAGAGGACTCTTTAAAGTAGAGACACTATACTGATATACACCTGAACATCAGCAGGAGAGGACTCTTTAAAGTAGAGGCACTACATACTGATATACACCTGAACATCAGCAGGAGAGGACTCTTTAAAGTAGAGACACTACATACTGATATATACCTGAACATCAGCAGGAGAGGACTCTTTAAAGTAGAGACACTACATACTGATATACACCTGAACATCAGCAGGAGAGGACTCTTTAAAGTAGACACTACATACTGATATACACCTGAACATCAGCAGGAGAGAACTCTTTAAAGTAGAGACACTACATACTGATATACACCTGAACATCAGCAGGAGAGGACTCTTTAAAGTAGAGACACTGCATACTGATATACACCTGAACATCAGCAGGAGAGGACTCTTTAAAGTAGAGACACTACATACTGATATACACCTGAACATCAGCAGGAGAGGACTCTTTAAAGTAGACACTACATACTGATATGAACCTGAAAATGAGCAGAATGTCTTCTTAAACTATTTGTACCCCTTCCGTTGCTCAAATGTTGAAATGATCTAAAAATGTGATATTTCTTTTAATGTTTCGCTCCGTACCAACCTGAGGAGTTATGTCCCAATGGGTCTCAGAAATAAGGAAAACACAAAAGAACAATCCATCCATGTTTTAGGCTTTAGCAGTGTGAGTTGAAAACAGCTCACCCGACACAGAAATCACTTTAAGGGAAACAAAGGACTTTCCTTCTAATGACACTCAATTTAAATTTGACTCCAGCCCTTTTGATATTTCAAAGATTAGCATTTAAGAATCTGAATACTTACAACAATTTGATTACGACACTTTTTTCTGTCGCTTTTCATTCATCCAAAAGTGATACTTAAGATTTAATCAATCTATCAACATTAAAAAAAAAAGACACCAAGATTCACCTCAAATTCTTTATTTCCTCTTCTTCATTACAAAAACACTTTTTCTCAAATTGCCCACATTTCATTATCAACATTTTTTTTTCTTCCGGCCACACACACGCCGTATCAAATAAGGGGACACGTCTGACGCAGCAAACAGGCAAACACATTCATCGTTAGTCAACATATCAGTGCTACTACCAATGTTTGATTCTTTTTTTTTTTTATCAGAGGAAACAAGTCGACACACAGCTGTGGCGAGGTGAAACGGGCGGCGCGTGAAAACAGAGGAATGTACAAAAAAAAAAGGACACATAAACCCATCAATGAACCACAAATAAAAAACCCAGCTGACTCAGAAAAACACGGCATCAGAAAAACGAATCTCACAGGAAGTGCAGTGATCAGTAGCTTTGCAGTAAGGATCTGTCGCTGAGCGTTTGTCCTCGTGGGATTTCTTCCTCTTGGCAACACGGAGGACATGTTAAACTGTTGGTCGGGACGTTTTAAAGTCTGATTTGATGCATCGTTGAATTTACTCCATGGAAAACGAAAAAAAATGCTTCGTCGGTGTCTTCTTTTAATTTTCTTGCTCTTTATTTGTTTTCCATTCTGTGGAAGAAAGAGAGAGTAATCATTCATTAATAAAATCAAGATGAATGAAATCCTTTGAGACATTATTTAAAAAGGAGTATTTCACCCACAAACTGATCATATGTAAAGAGGGTGGGGCTGTTTGATAAAAGCAAAAATACATCCAATCGTAAGTATACAAACTCTTGTAGTAAGATTACAATCTTTACTTTATCTTGCAGTATGCTAAATACTTCCTGAACACAAGTGCCGCATATCATTACGCTCTTGCAAAGTCTAACCATCCTTGTGAGTCACCGTTACGTTATTAAATATTAAAGTGTTTTTAGTCAAAATGCATCCGTATGTGAAATAAGTAGATAAATGAGACTTGGTTTATGCTGCGTGAGTTGTGTAAGAGTTTGTAAACAGTTGTTCTAATAAAGTTTTGTTGTGGTAAACACCCCTCCTATCTACTTCAATTCATTTCCATTTATTTCACACTTTGGATTCTCCCTTCACGGTGGCATACGAGATGTTTCTGGAGCAATTCTAAGTTTGATATATTGATATAAAAATCGTCCTTTTGAGTGTGAAATATTCCTTTAACAGCTGATCTTCAACAGTTCACATACAGGCTGTATCATGCGTTCAAATGCACATCAAACAATGTGTCATGGCAGGAACACGGAGAAACGTCTTAAGATCCAACACACACAAAACATGTCACTCGATGTAAACGGCACAACCAGAACCATGAGTGTTAGTCCACAATGGAGGGGTCACCAAGCGGCCATGATCGAGGTGGGATGAGTGAGAGGCAAACCAGACGGGGGGGGGGGGGGGGCTTCAAGTACACGTGAACAATCGGAGTTAAAATGATGGAGCAGCTCAGCCATGCACGCTGCAGGCAGGATGGAGATGCAGTTTTCTGGAAGATGCCCTTACTTCGGCTTTGAAGCACGACCGACTCTTTTGTTACAAATTGAGGCGGGGGGGGGGGGTTTATCGGAGGCTCCTATACTTTGCCAACCTACTACTTTGCTCGGCGGCAATCCTGAAAAAAGGGAGTACAGAGGTGTGGAAAGAGGGGGTTAAAAAGAGTCACAGCTGCAAAGGAGACAGAGGCTAGCAGGACAGAAGGAGTCATTCATAGTCAAATTGATTTAAAAAAAGGGGTTCAAGAGGGTCCGTCTTAAGAGCGAGAAGTAACGGAGAACAATTACAGAGTGACGTCTTGAGAAGGGGAAATTGCTCCCTGTGGCCCTTGAGGGCTCTACATATTGATGAAGGGGAAATTGCCCACTTTAGAGCCTCACTCTTGCAGATCTTGCTCCTGGCATCAGCGTCTGGGGACCGGCTGAGGAGCTAAACGCACCTTTACCAGAGTTTTGAGGTTAAGAACGAGCCAGAGAGACCCCTGAGAAACTCGGCTCTTTCTCTCGGGGTAATAAGGACTCTCTGGGGGACCATTTTGTGCCGCCCCCCCCTATCAAGAGACGTACCTCTTCACTGCTTTCTGTGCCAGCATGCGGTTCCCGGCCAGGAAGGTAAGGGTGCCGATAATGGCCAGGTACTTCAGAGTCTGGAACATGTTGAGGTGAGTCCAGTACAAGTACATCAGGCCCATGATGGCTGGAAACAAACAGAGGGGACGTTAATACCACACACAAGATCTAATGCCATACTACCTTTTGAAACGTATCAACATTTTAGATATAAACCAAAGCAAAGAAACAAATATTGAGATGTAAGAATATAAAGAGGGCCAGCATTGCATGTCATCTTAATCAATCAATTACATACGAGTGAAATCAATGTTATATCTACAAATGGTTTGTTATATCAAAAGTAGGGCTGCTCGATTATGGCAAAAATCATAATCTCGATTATTTGGGTCAATAATTGATATCACGATTATTAAAAACGATTATCCATTTACTTTGAAAACATCCATTTATTGAAAAAAAATGTGAACGGTATGTTAACAGTTGATTACCCTGAACTTTAAGTATAATTCAACTGAAAAACCAATAAAAAACTAAAGAAATATAATCGTTTTATTTCGATTATGTTGTTATTGCGATTAAAATACGATTAATTAGGCAGCCCTAATCAAAAGTCATACTTATTCATATGTACTCTTACTTAAATACCATAATGTATATACTGTATGGTGGCTGCATTGTGCATATTTAAGGAGTCCTGTAAAATTAATCAGGTTAACAACTGTACTGTAAGTGTGTTTCCGACCACTGGTTGAATGGGCGATTTCTATTGGTTCAAACCAGAGCCGAAGCACAGGGAGTCAAATGACTGAATTCACGTTTATACTAAGGTGTGTAGATACAAACTAAACGCGACCAATGTAAACAGACTTCAGCAATAAATGTTGAAGCATGTGACTTAAACATCACACAAGCTTCTGCTACAACGAGTGGTGCAGTAATGAGTCCTAAAACCCGGATATAAGTTAGCATTTAACCACTTTCTGTTCCAGTCAACATGTTTATAGTTAGATGTCTGAAATAAGGTCTGAGATTCTCCCATTTTTCCCAATGCTTTTTGTTAATGGATCCCTTGCTAAGCTACGTCATCACTGCACCACTCTATAGGACACATTGTAATAGATAACACATCAGATCTGTGTGGAGCGATGAGGAGAACAACACTTAAAAACAAACACCAAACTTCTTTGTATGTTCTAGGTATGTACTTATATGCATTTTACACTGTCTGAGGTTTGCACACTGCACTGTTAATGACATCATCCCTTCTCCTACAATAGATTAAAAGCACCTGATGGAAAAATGTGTTGTACATTTTCACTGAATGTGGGTTGAACCGTCGCTGTGACAAAGTGACTCGGTGTTCTGGGTCGAGCGCTTGTACATGTGGAATTGTATGAATAATACATGTGTGTAATTCATTATGTTAATGCGATGTCACCCACAGTCATTAGGGCAATTCACCCATCATCCTGAACAACAGCCGATGAATAGAGGATGAAGGGGCTGCTAAACAAATGTGTGATGAACATTTCGCACTCACCTGCGTGTCCCACGTGGAACATGACGGTGCTGGGGGTGCAGTTGAAGTTGGAGACGTTGGCTCCGAGTTTAAACCACTACAGAGAGAGAGAGAGAGAGAGAGAGAGGGGGGGGGGGGGGGGGGGGGAATTAAAAAAAAACCACACAATGATATTTTCATCCGCTGCAAGAGCTGCGAACAAAGAGGCTGAATGTTTGTTTACCGCCGAGCACACAATGCACTGATTCACGGCAACAATAACGGTTACTCAGCGCTGCAGAAATACACCACAGCTTTTGTGGTTTCAAATTAAAACCGGCATTATGTTCATGCAGCCGCTTTCAGTGTTTTATGAAGGCTGCGAGTGAAGAGCTTTTTCTGTGGAAAGAAACGAGCGCACACGCAACAATAATAACACGTACTTCTGAGTAATAATGGAAGTAGGTTAGTGTAATGGGAGGCTTTAAATAGGACACATGACGTCTAAATTATGACCAAATGTAAGCTGCTTTACAGTAAAGAGCTTATTTCAACTTGTTTAAGAGTAGGATAAAGCATCCTATAAACTCAACTTTAGTGTGGTTTGCAAATCTGTTTTACAAAGAGCTTAAGGCAGGAGTTGTTAAGCAAATACGTCAAAGCTTGAAGACATTTGGTGGCTAAATAAGTCTTACTTTACTCTGAAATTCATTTAATTTGTACTATTATTACTTTCGCTTTGTCATATATCTGCGTTTGTGATAAACCTACCTATTTTAAACTAATGTGTGACTGAAAAATGTAATATTTTGGGACCATTTAGTAGTTACGGTTAGATTAGTTTTAGGATATTTGCTTAGTGTTAGGTGGTTTTCAGCTTGTCATTTTTCTGTATAGTAGTATTAACTCTTCAAACTCTAGGTGTGTTATGGCGCATTTCCACCACACGGTCGGCCTCGGCCACGCTCGGTACTGCTTGGCTGCGTTGGGCCTTAACAGGGCCGACTCACTTCATGCTGCGCTTCCATTACAGTTTAGGAACTGGGGTAGTTACTATAGTAACGCAGTGTAGGCGGAGCCGTGATGTCATCTTCAATGAGAACCCCAGAAAAACAACACAGCCGTTAGCTGTGAGCACTCAGAGCTCACAGCTCCTTATATATGTTCAGAAACTAGACAAAAGTTAAACAAGTACAAACCACAGACTGCCTGTGTCATGGTGAATACAGTCGCTGCTTTATTTATGTCTGTATAGGCCGTTGTTGTGAGTGTGGACGGTCGGAGCATATATTGCGTTAGCTTAGCCAATCTCCATTTAGAAAACAAGCATTTTAAAAGGTTTTTCGCCTGCCGTCTGTCTGCAGACTTGTCAAAGCATTAATTCATGGTTTTTGCTAACCGGTATCAGTATGTTGTTACTTCGGCATCATTTTGAAACGTGTATTACAATTAAATCACGGTCAAATATGTCCATCTTGTTGTAGTTGTAGCCCCCTTGCCAGCAATCCTCTCTCTAGTTTAGCATACTCAGCCCTGTTTGTTGGCCCCGATAGAACCACAATTTTGTCAGGCCAGAAAAGAGGTGAAAAAGTGGCCGCGGGCCGGGCCGGGCCGTAACTAGGCCTAGTGGAAGCGCAACCAAAAACGGGCACGGCACGACACGGCACGCTTAAACCGCGCTCTGCGCCATGGTGGAAATGCGCCATTAGTCATATATAGTGTAAGTACTTTCTGCCGAGTGCTTATTCTTAACCTCTTCATAGCTTATTGGAGTGTCCCATTTCACATATCTTCATTATGTCGTTTGATTTTACTTGCATTTTTAAACAGTTTGTGAGTCAAATGAATTGGAGTATTACCAGGAGCAGCAGCAGCAGGAGGGGAGACAGGATGAGAGCAGTGAAGGCGTTGGAAACCACGGTGGGAGGCTTCTTCTCTGGTTCTCTGAACAAATGCTGCAGGAGGAGACAAGAGGACATTTTAAACGGCTGTTGTGCATGCTGCTTGATTTTCCATCATCAGGCAGTGAAGCTGATATAAATAAAGTACTGAAGTGTTACCTGGATCTCTGGTTTGGGCACATAGAGAGTTTTGGGCTGAATGGCCACTGGAGCTTCCTCGTCCACAAACCTCAGAACAACATCAGCCTTGAGAGAAGGATAACAACTTTAGAAATCAATATTAACTTCAGTAAATAATCCCAACTACCACCTCTGAGTCTGATCGGACGCTCACCACGTTCCACAGGATGGGATTCTCCAAGGTAGCGTCCCCGACCATGAGGTGGAGGGAGTAGGTGCCGGACATGGAGTCAAACTCAGATTTGCGCTCTGCCATGTCCAACTCGAACTTGTACAGTTTCTTGCTGTCGGGCTCGGCCACGAACACAACCTCCTGACCCGTTTTCTGATTTTGCAGGCGGACAAAAGTCTGTGAACGAGACAAAAAGAAATAGGTATAAGAGTCTGGGTTAAGTAAAAGCAAAGAGTTGTGTTCAAATGCATCATATATGGAAATTGATTTGCTAAAGTAAAACACCCCGAACTTAATAGAAACACATTTTTGAGTGCGACCATTTTGTGCCGGGTATCAGGTGTAATCAATACATACACAAGTTCTCAAATAATAGATCATAGGACAAAAATACTCCATCTATCAATATGACGGTAGATGGAGACAGCAACAAGTACCTAATCTAAGTATTTATATGCCGTTAGTATGTCCGATTAATGTTCTGAGACATGGAGTTTTATATAAAGTGTGAGCGCATACTTGTCTGTAATTGAGTAAGACTACATTTTTCAGGCTTCGTGGGTAAGGGTGCGTCTCACTTCGGTTATTTTTCATTTCCTCGCTCCTCGGTATCACCGGAAGTTGATTTGTCTGGGCCATCTTGAGTAGCGTCCCAGTGGCCTTATTTTTGCCGGAGGACCGAGGAACTACCAGACCATCCTCCGGTGAAATCCTCAGACACTCGCCCCGCCCCCTTACTGTGTATCGCTCACTGATTGGACGATGCGGCGCATGCACTGATCTGGCTGCTGTCAGACGATCAGCTGTGCGGCGCCATCACTAACGGAAGTCGCTTCACGTGACGCTCCGGAGGAAACGACATCCCATTGCTCTTAAAACTCATTTCCCTGCTTCTCGTGGTTTCCTTGCGTCTCTCCATGCTTCCCTGGTGGGAGGGACTAGTCGCAGGGAAAGGACGCAACGATTCCATTTAACCGAAGTGAGATGCAGCTTAAGATACATCTTTACCGATCCACCAAAGGAAAACTCAGGTGATTGCGCAGCACAATTAATAAAATGGAATAAGGGGTAGGACAGGTACACACAAGTTCACACAAGGATAAATACGAATTTAGACGACAGATGCAGTTAGGAGAAGGTCAGATATACGATGTGTTCATGCCAGATCCTGTGACCTAAGATTTTCATTGATATATCTACCAGAGGTGGGACCAAGTCATTGTTTTGCAAGTCCAAGTCAAGTCTCAAGTCTTTGCGCTCAAGTCCGAGTCAAGTCTCAAGTCTTTGTGCTCAAGTCCAAGTCAAGTCTCAAGTCAGGATGGGAAAGTTCAAGTCAAGTCCAAGTCCTAAACTTTGACAAAACGAGTCTTAAACAAGTCATTATGTGCTTTTCAACAAATGTAATGACATCGATCAACAGAATAATACTTAATAATCAAACTGCTCTTTATTAGTCACATTAATCATTTAATAATCCATTTTCTCTCTGCTGGTAAAGGAACGTGTTTTCTTCTATTGTAAGAGGGATCAGTAAGGTAAGGCTACCGTGACGGTTTGATTCAGAAGGAGTTCAATGCATAAGATCCCTGATGTTGAGGTAACCAGAATGTTTATTTCCACTGTGTACAGCATGTTATAAGGGACCCAATCTATGCAAGGGATAATGTGCAGCGAGGCGTCTCTATGGGGAAAAAAACCCTGAATCTACATCCCTCTGCAGGTGGTACTTTCACTATATTTTGATGATAATACTTTTCTAACATTTTTTAACATTTTGAATGCAGGACTTTTTATTGTAACCGAGTATTCCTACACTCTGGTACTTTTACTCAAGTACAAGATCTGAACTTCTCCCACCTCTGACAATACATCCTGAGTGGTTACCAAAAAAAAAACCCTGCTCTGAAGGTTATTTTCATTTGACAAATCCTGCACTCAGCTTTGCTTTCTCCAATATCATTGACATGCAGCCAGATGCTGCTTCTTTTTTCGGTTTTCGCAAATTTCTTGACTTTTTCCGACGCGCTTGCATTTAAATCCGGCTCCCCGTCGCTCTGTGTAGCTGGCCTGTACCACTACACCTGCTGTCTTTGGAGCGTCTGCCCCCCACACTTCTTTCACATAATGGTATGATCCTAGTGTGTCCTCACATATGATTGGCCGCATGGTGGCCCAGCTAAATAAAGTCCCGCCCCTGCCTGCATGGATTCACAGCAAGAGTTGCAGCGGCTGAAGATTCTGCTCTCCCCGACGGGAGTCTGCTCTTCTAGCGGCATCTCGCGATCGGCGTGTTGGAGACCCCTGAATTAAATTATCAAGTCACCTCAAGTCAGAAGGCTCAAGTCCAAGTCATGTCCCGAGTCATTGGTGTTCAAGTCCAAGTCGAGTCGCAAGTGTTTTGTGATTTTGTCAAGTCGAGTCCAAAGTCATCAAATTGGTGACTCGAGTCTGACTCGAGTCCAAGTCATGTGACTCGAGTCCACACCTCTGATATCTACATTGTAGCCATGTACAAATGACAATAAAAGCCTTGAGTGTTATACCTGGTGGGGGGTCAGCTCCACTCCAGTGTTCACGTCCACCAGCTGGAAGGCCATGGCAAAGTTCTGGTGGCTGTCTGCGGTGAAGGAGATCTTGGCTTTGGAAGGATAGTCCACCCTGAGTTAAAACAAGAAAAGCATTTAGTATTCTATTGTTACTAATGCTCAAAGTAAAAGGCTTCACTTATCAAAACATGTTTCCGCACCTGACGGTCTTTGTGCCGATGCTCTGGTCCTTATCCACCACAGAGAGGTCCATGCTGGTGACGGACACCTCGGTGGACACCTTCACTTTGAGCTGCAGGTGGACAGAGAGTCAGAGACACATCAATGAAATACCAATACTCAGACATTCATATTCACATTGACCACCAACAAGGGCAGGCAACCTCTGACTCAGACTCAGCTAAAGCACCACATTTTAATTGCATCCCTTCCTCCAAAAGACACTCTGAAAAGGTATGACTACACTACAATTCATTTCTACTTCAGTGTTCAAAGTTAAAATGTTATGTCCTTAATTCAGACCGCCCCCTCACCTCCACATGATTGGCCACAAGCCGGCTGTCCCCGGCCACTGCGACAGTGAACTGGTAATACCCACTGGCTGGCTGGGTGGACATGAAGTTCAGTTCAAAGACGCCGCTGAGAATAGGAAAGAAATATAAAATAAGTGAAGAAATGCCTTCAAAATATTCATAATAAACAAAATAAATGTAATGTGCTTAGATACACATAAGATAGGGCAGCAAATGTTGGGAACAAATATAATGTAATTGTGATACTATTGACGATATTGTAGGGATTGATTCGTTTTAATTCATAATTCTTACTATTAGTACTCATATTATAACAATTGTGCATTTTATGAGAAAAGCATGACATTTCTAACATAGTTAGAGCATACCATAAGGTTTATTTTCAGATGTGGAGGGAAGTCAGATTTGACCTGTGAGGACCGTGAGAGGTCAAATCCAAGATGGCCACCAGTCTCTCGGGTCAAATGTTCAAGCACGCTTAATTTTGGAACCAAACATTGTAGAAAAACATTTAAGGTGTCATATCCAACTAAATTAGGGATGCCCAATCATTTGGTGATACTTTTGAGATCGCCAGAATTCAAGAAAATGAATTTAGGTGAAGATAAAGGTAGAAATTGACCAAAAATAAGCTGTCAATCAGTTGAAAGGAGGATGAAGTATGTCTAAATGGATGGAACTCTCAACAAAACAGCATTTTATTCCCCAATGTCATATTTAATAGAAAAATAATAATAATAATAATGTAAAGCAAAGAGGGAGATGGAAAACAGTTCCATGTAGAGCACAAACAGCTCTCTTAACCCTCGCTGTTAACAAAGGGCTGCACTCAACTATAAGCTTCACCGCTGTCCCTTTCCACTTATAGAGGGTTGGGGTTCGATTCCCTGCCTGTCCACCTATAAAGCCAAGGTAGCGCAGCTTTTTTTCTGTTCTTTAGTGGCTCACATGGACACTTAGAGGTCATGCAAAGAAAGGGTTATGTATGTTGTGTGTGTGACAGAGAGTGCAGAGAGAACATGGGCAAAGGGGTTTTGTTTGTCCTAGCCTGGCTGTACAATTACAAAGGTTTACCCATTTAGACTCCATGGTATGGAGAACAAAACTCATTTGAAATGACATCTTAATTGAATTTTCTATGTGCAACATGAGGACAATAACCACAAGTGTACTCACAGTACCTTTTTTCTCTGGCACTGAAGTTGCAAGGTTTCAGCATGTTGTCCCTCTCTAAACCTTTCTGTTCCCCATTCTTCTTTCTCCAATAAGAGGTGCATCATTATTTTTTTATATTAAATATGACATTGGAGAATAAAACGCTGTTTTGTTGATAGTTCCATCCATTTAGACATACTTCATCCTCCTGTCACGGAGTTCAAGCACTTAGAGAGTTGGGCGGGGAACAAATATGATGCTCTTCACAATCATGTAAGTATGTATTTGAAGACAAAAACAAATGTTTTCTTCAGCATGCAGACTGTGCCAAGTAAAGCCATATTCCTCCAGTCTCTGTAGTAATGCTTGACACACACACACACACACACACACACACACACACACACACACACACACACACACACACACACACACCACACACACACACACACACACACACACACCACACACAACACACAACACACACACACACACACAACACACACACACACACACACACACACACAACACACACACACACACAACACACACACACACACACACACACACACACACACACACACACACACACACACACACACACAACACACACACACACACACACACTACACACACACACACACACACACACACACACACACACACACACCACACACACACACACATACACACACACACACACACACACACACACAACACACACACACACACACACACACACACACACACACACACACACACACACACACACACACACACACGCTTAATTTTGTGTGTGTGTGTTTGAACATTTGACCCGAGAGACTGGCGGCCATCTTGGATTTGACCTCTCACGGTCCTCACAGGTCAAATCTGACTTCCCTCCACATCTGAAAATAAACCTTATGGTATGCACTAACTATGTTAGAAATGTCATGCTTTTCTCATAGAATGCACAATTGTTGTGCTTATCCGCTGTACTATATCCTTGATAATTATATTAAATGATTAAGGTTTGATGTTTTTAAGAGGATCTGTATCCAACACAATAGCTTCTTATAAGTCTGCAGAAAATGATTTGTAGACCCAGATATCTCTACTTCATTCATAATGATATTTTAACACACATTTACCCTTTAACAAATATCATGTCTTTAGAACTAGTCCCATAGAGTGGCGAAGTCCCTCCCTTTCCGGTGGACCTCCATGGGACCTTATTTCGGAAAAAGTATGTATTGAAGTCAATGGGGAGAGAAAGATTATCTTTTGATCGCGTTTGAATTGAGCCACGAATTACACATATGATGTTTGTCAATTTAAAAGATAATTTTGCAAGTAAAAAAAATTATAATGTGTCGTAAAACTGTGAAGTAACACTTTTTTTGTGTGAAACCGCTCAATGAACTCCATCTCCCGTCTCGCACCACACACCAAGACGGCCGTCACGTTGGCACAGTTCACTTCTTTCTTTCAGAATGAGGCGAAAAGTATTAAAAGAGGTGAAAATCACTACAAGTCTGGGCATGTTGAGAGCTGTACATACACAAAAGGGGAGTTAGTCGGTTCATAAGAGCCAGCATGCGGGACCAGGATTCTGGGATTTGTAGTCTTTCTAGTTGCGTATTTTTCATAGTCTTATATTTCAACAGTTTTATGACAAACTGTGACTTTTTTTACATGGAAATGATTTTTTAAGATTGACAAACATCATATGTGTAATTCGTGGCACAATTCAAACGAGATCGAAAGATAATCTTTCTCTCTCCATTGACTTCAATACATTATTTTTCTGAAATAAGGTCCCATGGGTCGGAAGTAGATGGGCGGGACTTCGCCTCTCTATTGCGATTTCTATAACATTTTGATTAATTGTGGATCCCTAAAATACTGCTTTAATTGAAACTGATTAACAATAACAAATGTGCGTTGTGTGATGTTATTAATTGCATTTAGGTTATAAAAAAACTTGTGTGTGACTGAGCTTTTGGGATCATTTTCAAGTAGAGAGGAACCAGGCATAATATATAACAAAGCTAACCCTCATCTGTCTCATGATACGTACTCGTTGAGTGTGAAAGCAGCCTGGCTGAGGATGATGCTCTTGGAGGCCACAGCGTACGCAGACTCCACCAGCACGTTGGCGGCGGTCAGAGGTTGAGACATGATGTCAGTGACGAGGAGCTGAGAATCAGACAGAGGAACAGCGTCACTGTGAGCGCATTTAAATGAATAAAAAACACACAGGTATTGTTAGCAGAGTGAAGCTCAATGTTCTGTTAGCACCCTAAAACGATCAAGTGTTGCGAAAGAAAATAAAGCGTCTGAGACAGGGAGCTCACATTGGAGGCGTGGCTTTAACCTTACATGCACATGAACTTTAACCTTACATGTAATTGGCTGTCAGCCCTGCACAACAAAACTACAACGCAAATTGATAACACATTTACATGAATGTATCTGGGTTTAGTTTCCACATGCGTACCCGCAGGGTGGGCTGGCTGTGGGAGACGGTGGCCGGGCCCTGAGCGCTGACGATGACCGGCACGTGGAAGCGGTTGTTGGAGAGAGCGGCGGCGGCGCTGGCCACGCTGAACGCCTCGGAGAGAGAGTCCCAGGACTTCTTACCGAAGATGGAGTTCACAAGCTGGATCACCTGGTCCTGAGGGGACAACACATCGTCCGTTAGGGTCAGACAGAAAAGCCATCGCAGAGAGAGGTCTGACACGATTACTACACTGTTGGTGCGATGTGTGGACATGACCGCGACCATTTGTATGCTATCAAGTCATCGCTGAGCTCAGGGGGAATAGGGGATTTTGGGGTTTAGGAAGACTGAGAGTAAAGAGCTTGTTAAAAATGAACAAGCCAGTATTTTGACTTTGTTTAAAAAAAAAAGGCAAAACCAAAAGTGGATATCTAACTTGAAACTAATCTATTTGTACTTTTCACTTTCTTTAAAATAAATACCACTGCACCTAAGTCCCTTTGGATGATGTAAAACGTTCCTAACCACGGAGAAACTGGATTGAAGGAATAAATGACATTACTCCTGTACCAAAGGTTGTTCGGTTTAACTTCATTATTACATAAACTTTTCTTAGTCTTTTTATATTGTTTGTATATTCTTAAGAATCAAAAGTGAATATCTCTTTGAAAGGGTGTACTTGCGTTTAATGATCACTAGACCAGCATTTCTGGTCTTAAAATAACCGAATATCATCGATCTTAATTATGTATGGGATATTCTGTTGCCCAACCGAACAGGTTATCCTGACATGCCTCCACAGAGCGGACCGTACCTCCTTCAGTGGAGGCTCCATGTCCACGTGATCAGAGAGGGAATAAGCAGCGGTCACAAACATGGCGGTCGCCTCAAGTCCCTCTTCGAACTGCAGGTAGATGCCTCCAAGATCATCCAAACGAGCGGTGAGATCCTGGGAGGAAAACAGGAAATAATAGGTATAATTTATTCAAAGCAATAAATTAATCTGTGTGCATAATTTAGAGTCCATTGTGTCCTTCGCTTAGTCAAAACACAGTGAAACAGGACACAGGAAGATAACATAAAATGCACAATAATCAATAACTCACCTTAACTTTTTCTATTGTTCTGTGTTTTCCCTACTTTTAAATTAATTGTATAGTTCATGTTCAAAAAGGATAGTTTTCCTTGTAAAGAAAACATGTTATTCTTGCTTTTGTTCAAAAGGTTTATGAATGTTTATGTATAGATGTCGCAACTGTACAGAGGTTTGTCCATACTGTATGTCATTATGGTCATGCTAATAAAGCTATTTGAATTCAATTGATAAAAAAAAAAAAAACTCACCTCGATTTCCTCCAGGATTCCTCCGAGCTCTGCCTCCTCTGACAGACGGGCTGCCGTTAGCAGAGCCGAAGTGATTCTGTCCGGAGAGAAGGTACGTTTGTTGTAAATGAAATGTAATTAGGAGTACTGTAAGAATGACACGGAACGGTGATGTTCTCTACTTACGCCATGACGTTGTCCTCCTTGTTGATGCGGCCGGTCAGAGCTCCCACTACTTCCTGTGAGGTCAGAGGAAGGCCCAGAGAGCTGAGGGCGCTCACCGCTCTGTGGATCTGAGTCATGGTGGAGTCCTCACTGACGGCCGCCAGCAGGATGTCCCGCGTCTCATTGGACACGGGGATCTAAGGAAGGCAGAACCAGAAACGTGTGTTTATCCGATGGGAAATCGGGTTTCATGACTCCGTTTTAGAGTGAAATAAATAGGAGATCAATAAAAAAAAAATAGAGTAAAAATATCTATATAAAGAAAGCGAGTTAAGGTAAGAATGTGCAATAAAAATGTAGAATAATATAAAATACAGATAGGTATATAAACTAAAGAAGTAAGAATTAGCAAAAATAAGATTTAAAAAAAATCAAATAAAGCTATTAATACACAATTAAAGTAATAATGTGCAATAAAAATAAAGTAAATCAAATAAAGATATGTAAGAAGTAAAAGTAAAATTCCCAATGATCTCGTAAATAACTATTCAATTCGCAATTTTCTTATGTAAAGAATTGCTTCTGACACTATGATGATACCATTACCAAGAATGTCTGATTTGTCACAAGAAGGACATTGTCCATAAAACATTGTCCAGTCCTACTACACATGCAAATGACATGTAGAGCAGCAGAGTATTCAGAGGTATGCATACCTCACATCCTGAAATGGCTTGACTGGTCTCAGCGGCAAAGAAGAGTGAGTCGACACTAGTGGGATCCAGCTGGGACTTGATAAACTGGCAGACTCCCTGCAAACAAAAACACGTCATGAGTTATGACATCATAAAGTGGCCAAAATCTGATCAGCTCATTTTCAGACAGGTTTTTATATAAATGGATCAGGACAAAAAGAGAGAGAATCTTTGTTCCTGAAACGTTCAGAGTCTCTTTACACAGAGGGGACACATGTTGATGTAGAAGAAACATGAAGAAGTGGATTTTGCATAATAGGTGACCTTTAATGGAGTGATTCTTACCTCATGATCAGGAACAGATGCTCCGAGCTTGCTCAGACCAACAACAGAGTAGTAAGCGGAGTCCAGGTCGGTGAACTGTTGGCTCAGGAGCTTCTGCAGGCGGGCCACATCGGACAGGGAGAGGTAGTGAGCCGGGGTGAGCGCCTGAGATCCAGAAAGAGCCACACTCAGGAGGGAGAACAAACCAAACAGCCCTGCAGACACACGGAGGAAACAAGCAGAGGTGTGAGAATAGACAGATGTATTAGTTAAGTAAAAGTAGAAATAATACACTGTAGAAATACTCATATGAAAGTACTGCATCAAGAATGGTACTCAAGTAAAACCAATACGTTACGATTAAGAAAATGTACTTACAGTGTTAGTTTTAGTTACTTAAATATAATGTTGGATGGTTTAATATTTACCAAATAATCCTATTTTTAAAGTATTGTGTGTCACAATCTGAATTTACAAAAGTAACTAGTAAATAAATGTAGTGGAGTAGAACTGTAAAGTAGCATAAGATGGAAACAATTAGGTACAATCAAGTATCCCTTAAATACAGTACTTGAGTAAATGTACTTCAATACCAGATGCGGGAGAAGTACTCAGATCTTGTACTTGAGTAAAAGTAGAAGTACCAAAGTGTAGGAATACTCTGTTACGATAAAAGTCCTGCATTCAAAAAGTTACTCAAGTAAGTAACTAAAGGTATTACATGTAGTGGAGTAAAAGTACACGATTCACCTCTGAATTGTAGTGAAGTAGAAATACAAAGTAGCATACAATAGAAATACTCAAGTAAAGTACAAGTACCTCAAACTTGTCCTTAAGCACAGTACTTGAGTAAATGTACTTAGTTACATTACACCTCTGGAAACACATTAACCTGCAGGCTGGTCGAAAGGGTTTTTAATCGCTATAATTAAAACAAAGGCTAATAACATCTTAATAATTAATAACTGTATATATTTTATCTCTTGTGATGATTTTTACTCATTCATTCATTGAGATAAAGCTCGCTCCTTCCTTGCAGGTTAAGCTAGGCTAACTAGCTAGCTCTCGTCATAAGGAAGCATGCAATACGTGTGTGATTTACACACCAATTCTTAAACCAGCTATTAAAATACAGCACATAACACGTATATAGTCTCGAAAAACACACGTATTTGACATTACATTCAGAATATATGCATTATTTCACTTACTAGACCGGTCCATGTCTTGCAGTCTCTAATGCAGCGTCACCAAAACCGACGACTATTTCCGGTGTCTCAGAATGAGCTGTCACTAACGGTAGAACGTCCGGTTGTGCGTTTGACGTTTCAAAATAAAAGCCGAGCTAAGTACACGTCGAATAATAATTAGTGCAGCCTGTCTAAAGCCCCAGGAAGTGCGCCGGATTCTGTACCCAATATTCGCTGTGTCCAAACGGCGGTACTGCAACTTCCGTATCAGTCCATGACGTCACCCGGCCCAGAAATACTTTTCCCCATTGACTAACATTGGGAAAGAAACGTCTGTAAATCAGCGGATAATTGTTTTTAAACTAAATAAACTACCCAGTATGAACTCTTGTATAGCCCTCATTAGAATCATTACGTCCTTAAAGTTGTTAAATGCACTAAAAGCCGAATCTAGATTTATTTTCTCTCTCCATTCATTCTAGTGAGCAAAAAAATGGATTGGCAGAAGAGCGTTCATGTTCAAAGCCCCAACAGACTGGAATACTTTACCTGCTGCTATTAGATCTCTTGCATCACTGGGTATGTTTAAACATGCATTATCATCTGATGAAACTGATATTGATGAAACTGATTTGCTCGACTGTCTCTCAAATTGTAATGATTGTAATGATTGTATGCATTGCTTGAATTTACTTAACAGACTGTATGTGGTTTGTCTTGTGTGTCATGTTTTGCATTTTGTATTTTTGTTTATGTATGTCTGTAAGTTGTTGCTATTGTCGGGACCCCCTTGAAAACGAGATGGTGCATCTCAAGGGGTTTATCGCAATGAATAAATGTCTATATATATATCCAGTTCTTATTATACATCCATGGTCTAAAGACGATGAGTCCCATTTACACACAGTAGTGGAATACATTTCGGCTGTCCGTTCATTTATATTTAATAATAATAGTAATCATTGTATTTCCAATGGATTGACATAGCTATGTTAATTGTAGGAAAGTGTTTTTTATTTAAAATATAATGGTATTATATTTATTATCACACATTGTTACACATTGTTTTAATTGTGTTCACTTAGTTACATGAAAAATATGTAATCAGGTTACATTTCAAAACATTGGGAATTACTAGCAGGATTACAATAAACAACTAAAAAGAACATGTAGTGTTTTATTTGTATCACTTTATTTTTTGATTTTTTTCAAGATTAGTTTTTATGACTGTATAATGTATTATATTATTATTTTATTATTATTATTATTTTATTTTTTAATGTTTTTTGTATTTATTAATTAATTACTATTTAATTTACACTTATTTACTTTGTGAATTCTTTTTTTCTTTGCTACTATTTAAATACTATTTTATTTAATATCATTTATTAACCTTTTTACTATTTATTTACTTTTTTATTTCACATTATTCATTTACTATTTTATTCGCTATTATTTATTTACTATTTTATTATTATTTATTTATCGCTTTTGCGCTGCACACTCCGAAGCAGCAGTGGGCGCTGACGTTACACTATGACTGTTAAATGATCACATGACACAACACGGAACCTCTCCCCTCTGGATGTCAGTCATGAGATTTTAGTGTTTCATTAGAAAGTTTGTAATGCAATGACTAGTTTAGAAACATCTCCGAGGTGTTGCATCTGAGCGCCATGTCTGAGATCTGGACCCAGAGGATCCTCTCTTTCTCCCGCAGCCCGTCTCGGTTCCTCTCCGGGACAACAGCGGAGGGTTTCCTCGCTGAGCTGCTCCGGGAGCTCCGGGATGACAGAGCCACTTACAGCCTCAAGGTAAACAAACAGTGGGATAGACAGAAACGGGTAACATGTTAAAGGTCACCTATTATGCAAAATCCACTTGTTGATGTCTTTTCTACATAAACATGTGTCCCCTCTTTGTAAAGAGATTCTGAAAGTTTCAGGAAAAAAGATTCTCTCACTTTTTGTCCTGATCCATTTATATAAAAACCTGTCTGAAAATGAGCTGATCAGATTTTGGCCACTTTATGATGTCATAACGATTTGTTTGGCTTGTGTAACCATTAGCCCCCCTGAATCTCCTCCTAGAGCACCATTGTGTTCTTTTTAGGGATGCTCCGATCAGGGTTTTTGGGGCCGATTGCCCAGAATCGGCCGATCCGATCACAGGGTGGGTGGGGGCTATGGGGATCTTCCATTTAAAGTGATGTTTAAAACTCAGTTAATGGGGCTCATTTTTATATTGCTTCAGTTTATAATCGTAACGGATCGAAAAGTTCTGACTCATTTTTAAATAAATTATGCGTTTCCACAAACAACAACCAACATAAGTATTACATTCAAATTAAGTACATTATTCAAGTTTACATTAACTTTGGATAATAACACAGGAGAAATGAGCGGAAGCGCTCTCTCTCCCTCTCTCTCTCATCTCCCCCCCCCAACCCTCTCTCTCTCTCCCTCATCTCTCTCTCTCTCTCTCCTCTCTCTCTCTCTCTCCTCTCTCTCTCTCCTCTCTCTCTCTCTCTCTCCCTCCTCTCTCCTCCTCTCTCTCTCTCTCTCCCTCTCTCTCTCTCTCTCTCTCCTCTCTCTCTCTCTCTCTCCGTCTCTCTCTCTCCCTCTCTCTCTCTCTCTCCCCCTTTCTCTCTCTCTCCTGACAGCCTGTCAGTATCGTATCATGCAGCTCACTGATCCAGTAATGAGTGACCCGACAGTGAAGAATAAATATATTTATAACTAGTTTAGTTGTTCCAGAGGTAGATAAAATAGCTAAGTGTGTTAGGTCTAACTCTTATGGCGCGTTTCCACTACACGGCCTCGCTCGGTATGGCTAGGCCTCGTTAGGACTGGCTCACTTTATGGCGCATTTCCATTACAGTTTAGGAACTGGGGTAGTATCTATAGTAACGCAGTGTAGGCGGAGCCGTGACGTCATCTTCAATGAGAAACACAAAAACAACACAGCCGTTAGCTGTTAGCACTCAGAGCTCACAGCTCCTCATATATGTTCAGAAACTAGACAAAAGTTAAACAAGTACAAACCACAGACTGCCTGTGTCATGGTGAATACAGTCGCTGCTTTATTTATGTCTGTATAGGCCGTTGTTGTGAGTGTGGACGGTCGGAGCATATACTGCGTTAGCTTAGCCAATCTCCATTTAGAACACACGCATTTTAAAAGGTTTTTCGCCTGCCGTCTGTCTGCAGACTTGACAAAGCATTAATTCATGGTTTTTACTAACCGGTATCAGTATGTTGTTACTTCGGCATCATTTTGAAACGTGTATTACAATTAAATCATGGTCAAATATGTCCATCTTGTTGTAGTTGTAGCCCCCTTGCCAGCGATGCTCTCTCTAGTTTAGCATACTCAGCCCGACTCAGCCTCGTTGTCTCTGGCCCTAGATCCGCGATTTTATGAGGCCAGAAAAACTGTGAATTAGGACCCGCCGGCCGGTACTAGGCCAAGTGGAAACGCAACCAAAGACGGGCCGCTGACGTCACAGCCCTCTTAAACCGTGCTCCGCGCTGTAGTGGAAACGCGCCATTAGTGTGTGTTTTGCTCCGCTCACCGGTCCGTCACAGCGGGTGGAGCTGCAGGATTTCTGCTTCACACACGTTGCATACCGCTATTTTTCTGTCTTTTTCGGACACCTTAAAATACTGCCAGACTGGTGAAGCCATTTTGGCGAGCTTGTTTTGCCGCGCACAGAGAAAAGTGTCATGTATTTTACGTCATCTGATCGGCTCTCCCGATCGGCCTTTTATAGAGAGCACCAATCACACTATTAAGAGTGAATATCGGCGGCTGATCGATCGGAGCATCCTTAGTTCTTTCTAACCAAATATCTCTCAGAGGGGCGTGGGGAGGGGCTCCTTATTTTCATCTAAAGTAACAGACAGAGAATCAGCACTTTTGAAACAGGGCTGAAACAGAGGGGATTATGGGATGCTGCAATGATCTGTTTGGTGTTTCAGACAAACACTTCAGAGACATGTTTTGTATATATCTGAGACCTATAATATATTGATGAGAAACAGAATAATAGGGGACCTTTTAAGGGATTGTGTAATCAGTATACAAGAAACTAACTGTATTCCCTTACATTACATAAAAAAACATCTTACAATCTATTTATTTACGACTACAGTAAATAATATTTGATTTGATTTCACTGTACAATATTTAATTATTATTTTGGTACTTGTGGGTTATCTGTCGCCACTTTTATTTTTATCTAAACAACCTTAACCCTAACCCCTAGGATTAATGTTTGTTATTTTGAGAAATGAAAAAGTTCATGTGGAGGAGGGTTAGGGTTAGCCAGCTACCCGCTTTTAAAAAGTGGAGACAGATCACCCACAAGTACCATTATTTTTGTATGTGTTTTATGTCTTATTGCGTTGCATTGTTGGAGGAGCTTTGGACTTTTCTTTGCCATAACTACACTGTATCTACTGTGCATATGACAATAAAGCCTTGAAACTTGAATATGCCGATAAAACCTTTTAATCTCTGAACCTCCTCCCCTCAGGTCCTCCTGTTGGCCCCGCTCTGCGAGTCCCCGTCTCTGCTGTGTCTCTCGGACTCGCTGGGTGAGGAGACGGCCCTGGAGCTCATGTCCGTCTTCAACCAGTGTCCTCCCAAGTCGATCCAGTTTCGCTGCCACCTCCTCCTGGCCCTCACCTCCGTCCTGGTCTGCACTTCCTGCGTAAACAACCGCTCCCGAGCGTCCCAAGACTTCCTGGACCTGCTCCTCCAGATATCCCAGGACACCAATGACCTCCACGGAGACGTTGCTCTGCGGGCCACAGCTTGTGATTGTCTCCGGGAGATGGAGGCCTGTTCTCCGGGTCTCCTCTCCCAGCGACTGGAGCTCTTAGGTGGGCTGAGGCAGAGGGAAACGTCCCGGCTCCACCAGGCCTACGCTGGGCTCCACACCCTGGTGTTAAGGAACGCTGTTTATCAGGTGGGAAGTAGTGGAGTACAAATACTTTGTTACTGTACTTAAGTTCATTTTTCTGGTATCAGTACTTTACTCCACTACTTATTTTTTTGATGACTTTTTACTTTTACTTCTTACATTTTGAACAGAAATACCTGTACTTTCTACTTCTTACATTTTGAACACAAATACCTGTACTTTCTACTTGTTACATTTTCCAAACAGGCTGGTTCCTTTAGTTTGAATGTGTGTTTGGTGGC